CAGTCAGAAATATTATACTTCTGATCATTTATCAGTACATATCCATATTTTTATATCAATGTATAAAAACAAAGTTGACACTTGTGGGACTTCAACAGAGGTGTAAGCATCACAGCAGATGCCTTTGTGTCAAAGTAACTGAGGATAAAACACAGAAACACAGGAAAGGAGTTTTTCCTGGCCTGGCCTGGCTTTTTATAGCGGATAACCTGTCTTGAAAATATTCTGCAGTCACTCAAAAATTGAAGAAAACCATGAATCAAGTTACAAAGGTTTTGTTTTTTTTTTTGTTTTTTTTACAGAAATTAGTTTTCCAATTTGGCATAATCTGTGAAAGCTTAAATTTCTTCGGTATCAATTTGATCAGAGGTGGCAAAAAGATGTAAATGTCCAGAACTTCAGGGAACTGTCTAACAAAATAGTGGTGTCCATTGCATGTAGACAATAAGAATGGGCTACATGTATCACATTAGAATGATAAGAAATATTTAACCTGTCAGAGATGATTAGAAGTGATGATTATTAAATGTCCAACTCTTCTACATATGTCACAGTAACTTCTGAATAAATAACGAGTCATAAACAAATGAGTGAACAATGAAACAAAATACAGAAAAAGTTATAACTTTTATATTTTATAACTTTTAACGACAACAAAAACAATAATAATGATATTAATAACAACAATAATGATATTAATGATAATGATAATATTAATGATACAATTTGTTGGTGCCTTTTACAACACTCATCTTACATAATTACAATGTTGAAAGAAAATCAACATCTAGGAATAATATGAACAGCTGAACGCATTCACATCTTCTCAGTCATTTGAGTCATCGCTTGTGAATTTACCTTGGACCAATGCTGTATTTCCAGAGAATTGCAGTTTTCAGAGAAAGAATGAAGTCAGCAATGAAGATCGCATTACAAAGGCCTGTGAAGTTGCACATGACGGCAGTATAGATTTTGGTAAGAGAGATTTGTTAATGAAAAAGTGAGAAAACAAGCAAATGGTTTAACGATCCACAACTTGCTTCTTCTCAGTTTACAAAGTGAGAGTGGAAGAGTTGGAACCCTATT